TTGTTCGTTATGCAAAAGTAAGCTGAGAAAAATCAAGTTTTAGTTAAAAACTTAATTTCAGAATTTATTTTTCATTATCTTTGTTCAGCTCCCTTCTTATTACCTCAAATGTCCCTGGTGCCAGAGTCAGTAACAGCAGAAAGTTAGGAGGCCAGTTGAATGTTCAGGCTTTACAACTAGAAATCTGTCCTTTGTTTATCTCCAGAAAGTAGAGAACATTGTTGCTTTTCCCCCAAACTAATGTTGCAGATTATATGCTAACAAGTAGTTTTGTATGGGCTATTTTGCACAATTTGAGTAGTGCTCCGAGATGGAGGTGGGAGAGGGACAGCCATAACTAAAATTTGTTTCTACTTAACCACTGGGATTTTTAAATAGTTCCTTCAGGTGTTAATGCTCTGTACATGGAGTAGTTACCCAGTGTTCAAAGATGTAAATTTAAAACGGGAATTCAGTTTCCCTGTTGATTCTTTACAACTGCAAAATGAAGTGCTATTTCAGTAAAATAGGCACAAACTTATGCCAGTGTCAGGCTTTCAGTTTGGTATCTTCTGTATTTGCAGTGTGCAAGCAATGAAATGCTTAACTTTAGCGCATGTTGAGTCTCCCTGAATTGAGAGGGCTGAAAATAAGTTATCAACTTGCACTTCAGCCTTTAGAAGCTGGAAGTTTTAGTTTTCTGGTATACAGAAGCACATTTCTGTGCTGCTAGGCAGAGGGGTACTAATAGGTGTGCTACTTTCTGCAACAGTAAGCATAAAACTGAGATCTGAGAAATTTCAAGACAGAAAACAATATATTGTAGATAACGTGTTCTGGAAAAAAACATCTAGGAAAAAGTATTTTTCAAAGTCATATATACAAATATGCATGTATATGTTTGTGATTAATATCATCATATATTTATATTTATATGTATAGAGGGAGGCACCTAATAGTGAGAAATCTAAACAAATCACGGGTCTTTGGCTCTCAAATTAGGCAATATATATATATATAGTCTCCTTAATTTTTGATGGGTGAAATAATTGATTAAAAGAAATTGTCCTGGGACATTAGAGGGGTCTATTTGTTGCACAGGTTCTGGGGCTTTCTGGGAAGTTACAGGGAAATCTATTCTTGTGGACGTAATGCCACACGTCCTTGCAATAGGTCATCAGGCACAGCAACTGCTCAGTGTTGTTGCTGTGCTAACACACAACAGCAGAGCTTCTGCACAAAGCTGTGCTTGTTGCTGTTTCAGTGTGCTGTTTGCGAGCACTTCTTGTGCACTGTTCTACAGAATGTTTGTGCAGAGGGGACTCTAAAGATTTTGATTTTGATTTTTCCATAGTTGCTCTAGAGGAAATCACAGACGTTTAAATGAAATCTTGAATTGTATTTAATTGGTTGAGTATCACCTTTCTTAACAGCTGTAAGCTAGTAAGGTGTATTTAGCGTGCATATTTGGCTTTGGCCAGATATGGACAGCTCACTTTAGGGCCTACTCAACACAAAGCTTTTGTTCTGCCTAACCATTAGTGAAAGGTGTCAGAGGAAGCTGTATAGATTTAGTGTCTTGACAGTGTAAAGCTCTAGTCTTACCAGGGGTAAGGGTTTGGGTGCTCATTTTTGAGTTTGTATAACCTTGTTGTTGCTGTATAACCTTTGTTGTTGCTGAAGCAGTGGTGTTTCTTGCAGGATCTCCTTCATACAGTATTTAAGAATGGAAAGGTAACGAAGTCATATTCGTTTGATGAAGTAAGACAAAATGCCAGGCTGAAGAACAGTGAACTAGAAATGGCGTCTCACTAAGTTTCATTCCACGTCTGTGTATGTGTGTGTGTAACAAGTACGTACTGCATAGCTACTGGGTTTATTGTACAGATTTGTGTGTTTGTGTTTTATGACATTGTAGCCAAATTATTTGTTGGTTTATGGACATACTGCCCTATCTTTTGCCAGTCTTTAGAAAAGATGAAATCAGGAAATGGTACTTACATTGTAAACCATATTTAATGCTAAAGTGTGCTTTTTAGGGTCCTTTGCCAGTGGTGATTCAATCTGGTATTGATCTTTTCACAAATGAGACAGAGCTGAGAAACTTTTTTATATATAACAGAATATCACAAAATGGATTTACATAAAATTATCATGATTGCTTTATGTTTATATTTAACTTGTATTTTTGTACAAACAAGATTGTGTAAAATATATTTAAAGTTTCAATAATTAAGTCTTTCCAACTTTTCATGATTTTTATGAGCACAGACTTTCAAGAAAATATTTGGTGGGGAGGGAAATCCATTGCCTTTTGTCCATTAATCAGCAAATAAAACATGGCCTTAAAGTTTGTTGTGACATTGTACCATTTGACAACTAAATCAGGACTCATATCTCCTTAAGATCCCATAGAATTGCTGACCTCACCATTTCTTGTAGCTGTCTGTATTAGTAAATCTGCATTAAAGCAAATTGCTGTTCTTGCTAGAAGGTTTAGGTACTACAGACCTTGCTAGCACAGTAAGGTATGTAAATGAAATGCCAAATCTGAAAGGATTCTCTACTGCAACTTAACTTGCCAAGTCTATCCCACTTGGCATATGCACCTCAATATTTTAAGAGTAAAGTTTTTAAGAGATCTCCTCTTCCACTATAGAGTATATGTGTAAAATACTGAAATATGGAAGCGGTGTATTTTAAAGTAATTACACTTCTGGGTTTATTTTTCATATGCTGTAAGTGACATGACTTTAAAGCAAAATACTGGACTGGGTAGTGCACTTTTTTACTTTTTTGTATTTTTTTCATTGATTTGCCTTTTGTCAGACTGGATGTTAAATTGTAAAAATGTTTAACTATTTTTGTTAACAACTTTAATAAAACTTTATGCTAGCCAAACTCCTACACGAATGGCAGACCTGCTTCCCCTTCTTGCCCTGCCTCTTTGGGGTGAGGAGGGACTTTTATTTTGCAGAGGGTAGCTGTAAAATAATGTGCTTGAGAGATACTTTGGAACTGTCTGCACTCGGTTGTGTTTGCTCTCTGCATCTGCTTGATTTGAGTATCTGCTGGAGAATGAAACTGATGAGGATTTTATTTGAGAAGCTATGTAGTAACCTCTGAGATGTTCACTAGTGCTGTAGGATGGCTCTCACTAGAAAAGTACCTCCCTTAAAAACAAAACCCAACAGCAAATGGTTCCTGCGTTATGTTGGTGATCAACTATCGGCCAATGGCTCAATCTAGTGATGTAATTAATGCTTCTAATTAGTAAACGATGCTATAGAAAAATTGTAGGGGTCCTCTAAAATAATTTAAGCTACAGAATTTTATAAAATGTGCTTTTAAAGGAAGATTGAAAAGCCATACTTCATTGTTCTTATTCTCTTGCCAAAAAGGGCCACATCAAAGCACCCATAATGTTTCCAGGGTTTGTGGTTAAGACATTTATGCCCAGTCTCAATAGTTCTTGTTAATAAAAACTTGTTTTCCACTTGTAGTGTATGTAATTATACATTGAAGTGATGTATTGTTTCAAAAATAGTGCTTTAGTAAGTCTCTAAATGCTGACCTTTCACACTGAGGAACTGCCTTCCCTTTGCTATTAATGATACTGTTTGTATTTGGCCAGGAAAGATTTTAAATCTGGACCTAGGATCAGTAGCAGGTAAATAGTACAGAGCCTATTTCACTCCTCCCCATGTGTACTAGGGAATTTTATGATGTATGGTTTAAAAAAAACAATAAAGTAAATGCTGCTTTCATTCTGTACCAATAAAGATTTTGATAACTATTGACTACCCATAACTGATATTTTTGTACTTAAGAACTGAGGATATACTGTGGAAGCACTGTTTTCTTGTGTACCGTAAAATACATTAGTAACTGTTCAGTATTGTCTAAAACTTTTACCTTGTTAGTTGGAGACTTGAAGCAAATTGTCTACTTGTGCATGTCACTTTCAGGAAGTTGTCACATCACTTATTTTATTAAGTGTTAATAACTTTAAAAGGGGAAAAAAGAAAACCACCTGGTGCTATTCAGACCTGAATTCATGTGCATCTGTGTTTGGCGATTTGACATTCTAGGCATCAAGGAGTTCACAGAAATGACTGCAGTGCTTGAACCATACAATATCCTAATTCTTCCAAGTGAAAGCAAACAGCATGTTTGTTTGCCTGAAATTGCTAGATTTGCAGTCATGGATATATTTTAATTATGCCCATTTCATAATATAATACAATATTTGTATTTAAAAATAGGAATTGGGAGTTTTGTGTTTAATACTTTTATTTGTAACCATATTTAGCATAAGAAATGGATTTTATAGGACTTTTTTTTTTTCCCATCAGCTGCATGATTATGAAAAGATGCTTTTTTTTGGTACTTTAAAAGGTCTGAGGAGAGAGCAGGAGAGTGCTTAATTGTTTGTTTTGCCAAAATCAAAACAAAGCTTAAAACGGGTTTTATTTCTTGTAGGTTTTTACATTCCTTCTTAACCTGTTTAGTGAAGAATAAATATTCCTCACTTAAATCCTCTGTTAAAGTAATTTTAATGTACTTGGCATAAAACACCAGTATGTAATACACATGGTAATAAAGTTTAGTTCTGGCAGTGAAAATAATAGCCATCTGACTGTGTCTTAAAGTTGTGATGTTGGGCATCAGATGTCATTCCTGTGCTCTTTGTTGCCAAACACAGAGCAGAGCAGAGCTGTGCTGTCATTACAGCCCTCTGCAGGGGAGCTGCTCAGCTGGCTGACATGCAGTTAGTGGTTAAGGGATTAAGTTTCAGTCAGCTCAGTTCTGGAGAAGGGAAACCGGCATCTTTTTTACCTCCCTGTTTTGGGGGGAGGGGGTGCATCTTGCCTGTTAGTGTGCAAAAATGAAGCACTTGTAATTGAATTTGATATAAGAAGCTATTCTCTATTTATATTTGATATAATCCTTTCTCAAATAAAGATTCAGTATTCAAATTTTACTTCTAAAGCTACTACAAATCCTTGTTTAAAAGCAAATTAACCAAAGACATTGCAACCTTCTGTTCATTTCAGGATCTTTCAGAAAATAATGTCAGCTCTTCAACTGAGAGAATGTCTCATGTTAGGACATGATTTTCGTTATTACTTACGCTTCTAATTCCTTAGATAACTTGTAGAGGGTACATTGCAAACACAGATGCTGTTAGTATGGGTGTATAAAGCAGCTTTTTCTCCAACCAGACTTTCCTATCCCACATGCCCTTGATCACTGTGCTTGTAGTAAGTGTGGGTAAAGCCCTTCCCAAATCTTCACTCGCGAAGCCAAGCCGTCGATCAATCAGTAAGGCACCTGGTGTAAAGAATATTATCATCACTTGTTGCTGGTCTGTCTTGGTCATACTGTAATGTAACAAGGGATCTCTGACAATGGTCTTTTCTTAGCACCTGAATTTAAAGTCTCTGTTATGTTCTCTTTACCCATGGCAGGGGGGTTGGAACTTGATGATCTTAAGGTCCTTTCCAACCCTAACTATTCTGTGATTCTAACATGCACCACCTAAGTGGCAGGCAGGCCTCTTCCTCCTCCTCTCTGTGCTGGTAAAAACCTCCAGCTATTCCAACTCCTTCCCTTCTAATCAGCCTTTGTGTAAGTTCAAGGTGTTTACCAATGGTGAGCGTGTGGTGGTGAGCTCGCAGGTCATCACACAAAGGAGTCTGCAAGGAAATTCCAGGCCTTGGAATGCACAGGAGAAGGCGAGGGACTGATAAATGTGTCTCTTCATATGTCCTCTGATTCTACAGTAATCAATAACATAGTACCTGTGCTGAGCTGCTCAAGGTAGGAGCTGTGAGGATGCATGCATTTGAGTGATGGTTTTTCTAGTAGCACAGCTGGCCTTGTTACTGATTTTAAAACACCCTTCAGAGTTACCTAAACCTTCGGTTTTAATTCAGAATATGAAGGTATGAAAAGCACTGAGTGATAGAGCATTTCCAAAAAGTATTTTCCTGTGGCACAGTGTATTATTGAAGAGTACCCTGATTGCTGCTGCAACGTAATCCAGAGCAATTCAAAGGAAAAGGGAGCAAAGTCAGCAGGATTCTGCTCAAGTAACAGACTTTGTTCCATTTACTTACTAATCTTCATCTGCCTACTCCTAACTGCTTTCTGAAGAGAACTTCTAGAATTTTCAATTTATGGTGAGGTTTCCTGGAACCAATTGCAGTCTCTCCTATTCCTGGCTAGAGCAGAGAGGTCTTTTAAGGACGGCTAGGGAGCCATCATGCCTCTAGCAATGATTTTAATTCCCTCTTATACAACTCTTCTGAGTAGAAGGGCAAGTTTCTGGTTTGTTTACCTTAGAGCCAAAAAATCAGAAAATTTGAGTTGTATAACTCCTTTTTTTCCCAGAAATTTCAATTGTGTTCAATTTAATTCAAGCTGTTTCTAGATCTGTACTTACACAAGCATATTCTGTTAAAATGTATAACTACATTGACTTATGCTTCAGTGATTAATATTGGTCTATGACATCTGAGGATCTGATTGTTACTAGTTGTTCCAAAGTACACATTGTATGTAGCCAGGTGATCATAAATTATTGAATATGGCTTCAGAATTATCTATACTTACAGTACTTAAGAAATTCAAGTGGGTAGATAAATAATGCATGAAAGGATCTGGGGGCTGGAGGGTTTTACTTTGTCACTAGTTTAGGTTATTACTGTGGCTATTTAAAGCTCTTTTATACAAAAGGAAATGAGGAAACTTTTAATGGATAAGTATTTGTATCACCAAATATTAATAAAAGTAATACGTGGCAGGCCAACTGAAGGGACTCTAAACCTTTATAACTTCTAAGGTAAAGCAAAGAACATCAGTCTCAAACATTCTTTCCCACAAAAGGGAGAAGAAAAAAAGCTGCGCTGGGATGCTGATTCCTCAGCTTTCTGACTGTAAAGAGCAAGGCTGGCATGCTCTTCCCTTTCAAGGAAGTTTTCCTTATTCTGAAAGATGCTGCCCTATTTTAAGCATAAAGAGTTGCAGTTTGTTGTTGGATGTGTCAGAAGGATGACATACCCCAGCAATTTAAAAGCACAATCTCTGTGTGAAATGCCATTGGGTAGAGATATGCCTGTAGGTCACAGAAAGGTCAGAGCATGATGACTAATCTGCCTCTGATGAGGGTGCCTCCCATGATTTGTCTCAGCTGAGCAGGTTCAAGTCGATGCTATAATCTGCTGTGAAAACATTGAGGCTGTTCAACCAAAACAGAGTGTTGGTGTCACTGTGATAACAAAGCAGTGGTCTGGTAATGTGCCCCAGTTTAACCTTAATCCATTTCCAAGGTTTGTAGCTACTTGTTAAGCCAAATGCCAGTGACAAACTTCATTAAAGCTTCTGTTCTTCCCACACACGGTGGTTTTTGCAGCCTCACCACCAGCACTGTTGCTTGAAGACCATTAGTTGGTTTTATTGCAACTATAAATCTCTAGAAGATAAAAAGGAAGATTTCACCTCTATGCAAGGTTTTGCAATCCTTACACCTTCAGACAAAAGCAAATAGATTCACACACTAAAACCAGAGGAGAAAGGTGTCCCTTTGTTGGCTTTCGTGTCCCGAGTTGTGACTGAAAATGTTAAGACATGCGAGAACCTGACAGAACTAAGAATTCATTCTCTTACAAATGGGTTTCTTTAGAAAAGCCATATGCTGAAGCATACAGTTACTATCTTTATAGTAATAAAACATTGCTGAATACTCAAAACAGTTTGGTTTCTGCACGTGCTTCTTAACTCACCAGTCTCAGTCACATTCCAAAAGGTTTACATGCAGTTAGTCCCATCAAGACAGAGGTGGCACCTTCTCAGGTGCTGTTCTGAACCCCAGAGATAAAAAAAGCATTTTTGGTGAGTTTTGGAGCCTAATTCAGCTCCAGCTCTACTTATAGCTATGGAACCTGTTCTATAGCTGTTTTCTTGTAGGAAGGTATGTATGTGTTTAATCCCTGGTCTACCTTCCCCAGCCCGTACTGAGCTAGGCAAGACCTGGAAAAAGTTTAATCAGTTTCTTCCCTGTTACCATGGAGTCCTGCCCAAAGGCATTCTGAGAGTAGAACCCATATGGTTGTTGAGTATGTGGTGTGCTGATGAGACAAGGGAGTGACTGCAGGTTGTGATAGGACTGTAAATAATAATTCTTTCCCAAGTCAATTGGTTAGATGTAAATGGTGTCACCGATGTGGTTGTTGTAGCACTGCAGCAAAGGCTACTGCAGGGTATCAAGGTGTGTGTTGGCTGCCTCTGATTCTTTTCCAGATGACTTTATTGACTACTCTTTTAAAACACATGGAATTTGGGAATTACCACTCTCACCAAGCAGCCAGGTGAAATTTTCCTACAATGGAATGAAGCTCTGTGTAACAATCTCTGTTCTTGCCTAACATTTGAACTGCCTGGGTTTCTCTGGGTTTGGGTTTAGTGCTATTGAGCTTTGGACTGGCATTTTTACAAAACTATTTTTCATAACACCAGGATTTTGTATTTTAAGTGGTAGTAGATGAATTATAACACATCACATGAGGTTAGGATTATTTTTACCTGTACACATCAGTTTATGTTTATGCTGCATCTCATCTCCCATTTTAACTTGCAGTCACTGTTTCATAAGGTCTTTTTGCAATTCTTCACAATCACCTCCAATCTTTATTACCCTGAGTAACTCAGCACCTCCAGCAAACTGTCACCTACTTACCCATCCCTCTCTAGATTGTTTAAGAACATGTGGAGCAGTGGTAGTTGCAGCACAGATCGCTATCACTATCACAGATCACACACTGGAAAGCTGAATATTTTTCCTGCTGTTTTCTATCCTTTGATCAATGTTGTATCCATGTAAGGACTTCCCCCATGTCTCAAAACTTCTTAGCTTCCTTCAAGACTTGATTAGAAACCTTGTTGAATGCCTTTTTGAAATTAAATTAGGTGATATTAAAAGGGTCTCCCTTATCCTTTGACCCCTTCAAAGGACTTCAAAGAAAGTGATTTTCTCTTGCACAGTTCATGCAGAGTCTTCCCCGGGAGCTTAAATTTACTCCTCCCACTGTAATTTCAAAGCTAAACTTGTTCACCTTCAGCATCCAGCCCCTTGGTCTTTCTGTGCCTTTGCCCACAAGACCAAATGTATTTTGAAAATTTGGAAGATCTGGCTCCAGATAACTCAGGGAATTTGTGAAACCAATCCTTGTTCTCTTGCTGCCTTTGCCATGTTGCAGTACAGCTCTTGGTGGTGAATGGCACAGTGCTAACAAGATTCTGCAGTCTTATTCATGTGTGGACAGCCACCTGCTTCAGTGGAGTACTTGGGATAAGAAAAATGCTTAGCCATTGTGGCAAAGCAGTTCTTGAGGTTTGAATTGAAGACATACTGTTACCAAGTGACAGACCAACTTGTGGGAGGCTTCTCAGGGACATGAATGAACAGGAAAGCTGGGCACTATAAAAGGGACAGTCCCACCAGCCACTTCATGAGACGTTTGGTGTGGACTAGGGGCAGAGAGAACTTAGTTTGCATGGTACTTATACTTGGACTCCAAAACAGTTCTTGTATTCAACAAGGAACTCTGGACTAAACCAGACTCCAAAATACTTCTACGTAAAGGGCCATTTGTTTTAGAACCTCATGCAAGGCTCTGTGGACATGTCCCATCTCTCAAAAAAACAGGTATATAAACCTGATATATTGAATCTGCTGAGATGCCTCTGTCATATTTGCTGGGCTTGAAGTGAGCACTGGCAGTGGGTATTTTACATGTACTGACTGTACAGGGATCACATGTATGTAAGTATATGCACATGTATATATGTACATTTTACATCCACAAAGATGCAAATTATCTATACATAAATAGACAGATGTGTATATATTCTATCTAGAAAATGAAATATCCATAAAGACTAGAGACGTTCCAGTAATGGTGATCTTTCATGGGCTATGATCTTTCACAATCTCTGCATACTGGGATCCTTGCCCTACTTCTTCCCAATGATAGCTTGATTTATACATAAAAGGGTTGTGTAAGCAGCCATTTCAGTTACCACCTGACTGGCAGCTTATGCTGAAATGATCATCTATGATTACTCCTAAATCTGTCTCTGAATTACTGCTTGCCAAGACAGTCTGCATGTCTGTCTCTGGTGTTGTGCAAGTTGGTATTTAGCTACCTGCCAGTGAGTGTCATGGGACCATGACCAGGCAAATCAGGTTTGTGCAACAGCAACCTGCCTTTGTCCCTCTTTATACATATTCCACAGGCTTCAGCAGCAGAACACACTGACCGCAGACCCCAGCCCTTTAGCAGCGCTGCTAAACGTTTTTGTGCTTATTGATGACTCTCAATGATCCATATTTTGAGATTAATGAAAGAGTCAGGTTTTAATCCATGTAGTTAGTTACCTGGCAGTCACATGT